TTTGTTCACAAAGTGCTGCACTATTTGCCACACTGATAATGTTCTACTTTAACAAAATAAATTCCATATTTTAGCATTTCTGAAACGTTTGCTATAGGTTAACAGAAACAAACTGCATTGTCAATGGCGAGTTCAGGAGATATAAGTTAGCCAGACTTCATTTTGGGGTTCATTTAAACAGTGGTTCAGAAAAAAGATTTAAAAAAAATCTTCTTGCAGTTTTCCCAGATCTTCAATAGCTAATTTGTCAGATCCAACATCCCAATAAATTCATTTATAATGACATAAAACAGAGAAAAGCAGCAAATCCTCCCATGTAAGAAGCTGGTATGAGTTTTGTTGTTATTTGTTTGGCATTTCTGCTTGGAAAGTGACTGATTCTAACAGACAAAAAGTTGTCAGTCAGCTAATTAATATTGATCCAGGGTACTTTAAATTCCAGGTTAACCTCAGACACGAGGATGCGGAAGATATGGAGCTCCCTTTATAATAGCTTATTTGCTTAACCCCGTGTACAGAACTAATCTGTCTAAATTTAGGTGTGGTAGTCATAACATTGCTGCTTTAAAGAAGAGATATTTATGGGACCAAATTCAAGTACCGTTAGTTTGACAAGGTTTTTGTGATGAGAGAAACAGATTAGTTGAATGATACTATAGAATGAAACCTGCTCATCTGTATATGAATGTATTTATTGACTTTTTAATGTATTGTATTTGCCCATTACTGTGCAATAAGTGTCACTGTCCACTTATTTTATATCTCTTTCTTTTGTTTCTTATGAGTCATTATACCTACAAAAGGGGCACTTTCCCTGCTTTAATTTAGAAAAAAGTAACACTAGTTGAATGTGCAAACCCTGGAGATTTCTACACTTTCCATGTTTGCTCATAAAATTTGCTTTTCATTTCAAGAAAAGGAGGGAATGGTGCCACTGAATGTATGTCTTATTTCAGGAATTGGTCATGGACTGACACTCCCTGTGTGTTAGAGAATGTTAATGTAATATCAAAGTTGAATCTAGACTTGAAAATGATCTGTATTTGATAATCCCTATGAAATAAACACACTACAAGTTGCGGCATGTGTTCTCTGTTTCTGTGTTTACTCACTAGAAAGATTTAGCCAAACACTTGGCATTAGTTTGATGTCATATCTATGGATTAAAGAGTTAGATTTAAATTGAGATTACAGCAAACACATGGCAACAACTCCACTTTTTTTCCCCATCATCAAATCAGACACCTGCAATCTAAGATAAGGAGGCCAATCAGTACGTTGTTCAGACACATTCATTTTCTGCACTTTCGATTTCGATTTGGCTGTCTAGAAATTAAGAAATTATTGGTCTACATGGCTCTCACGGCGCTTTTCATTTGCCAAATTTGATCTGTTTTTGCTGTTTTCATTATTAGAAAAATTAATATAACACTCTCACTGTTTCCATGGTAATACATCTGTTGTTCTCTAATGAAAATACTGTAATTAACATTTAGTTTTCTTTACTCACAGTAGAGAAAGAACATGTGTCAACATTCAGCAGAGCTTTAGCCTTGAGACATCTTTTGAGGAGATTGAAAAGAAAGCTGTCCTGCCTCTTGAGAAGTCTGCAGCTCATGCAAACAACAACCCAACGTGAGTCAGGCTGTATTAGACATATTTATAGTTTTGTCACTGACACCCATTATATTTTATTAGCCCTGTTTGAACCAGTGTTTTGTGCTTTGCAGTGCTTTTGTCTACAAGATGTCTCATTTTGCTTCCAAAACTGTCATCTTCTAACAGTGTTAATGTAAAAAGGAAACAAAAATGTCCAATTACCCAAAATATTCTCCTTTAAAATGCAACAAATCACAGCTTTGTTCTGTCTACTTGATATAAATGCTGCATGCACACTGTGCAGGTAGTGAGAATATAAGTAGATGCAAATAGGCTGTAACGTGGGAGTGTGTTACCCATGCACTATGCTTTTCCTCTTTTATGCTCGGAGGTTCAGTCTGCACCATCACACTTGTAGCAGACACTGTCACTGCTGCTAGCTGCAGGCGCTACGAAGAGTTGATTTTAGCTAAGACTTTACTGAGCCAAGAAATCAAATAAGAAGTCGGCTCATTTCTCCATACGACTGCAAGGTATCTGTCTTTTATTGCAGCCAGTGGAGCTGCCCCCTGCTGGCCACTGCATAGAATGCAGGTTTTAAGACACTCGGACTGCGTCGGATTTACTTCACAGACCCGGAAGCTCTGTCCATTATATATACTGTCAATGAGCCTGACACTCCCCCACAGACACACACAGAATTAGCCTCTCTGAGCTGTTAGCTAAGCTAGAGCTAACATTACCCCACATGTACCACACGTTCACAAATGGCCGTGAATGTGCCTCCAGTGACTGTAAAAGCTCCAGCGCGACATGGAGAGTCTGACAGCAGCTGCTTATGGCTGGTTAGCTCTGTTAGCTCTGACAAACAGCAGCTGTTCTCCTGCTACACTGAGCAGTAGTCAGTTTGTCACTCTGGTCAGTGTTACCTCACAAGTCACACATGAATGTGAACTAAACTGAACTGCATACACATGCAACATATGGTGGCTAATAATGAGCAAATAGGACAATCATTCAGTAAAAAATGTAATCAAAGCGTTGTGGTTAAATGTGATATATGGTAAAAACATCATACTGCAATTACTTTTGATAGATATTGCAAAAAAGTGTGTATAGCACTCATTCATAGCATTCATAGTAAGAAGCTGGTTGAGTTTTCTGAGCCTTATTAAACAAATGTCAAAAGTGATCAACCAATAGCAGCATAGAAATGACTGACTGCTCTTTTTGTGGATCAGTGTGTCACTTGGTCAATGTTTTAACGGAGCACAGTAGGACATTTGTGACAGCTGTAATTCCTGGATAAAACATCTGGATTGATACCTATT